CAAAGTCAAAATCCCCAAAGCTCTTAGAATTCATCTTGAAGGAAACGTGAATGTCTCAAACTCATTTTTTTGAGTCACTAATGTCGAGGAAAAGTCAGCTGATCAACTCCAATCATTAGGATTCATCAGCTGGGACCATGGATGCCTGAACACAGCGATCCTTCCAGTAGTCGTTTGGATATTTCAGTGGGAGCTGAGCGACTTTCCCACATCACCATCTGCTGAGCCAGAAAACATCTACCGATCGTGACACACGTCTCGCCGCTATTTTAAGATCGACAGAGCAGCGCCACAACCGCCTTTAAAGCAGGAAGCGCGATTGCGTGTCGGGATGTCTGCTCTCAGGAAGTCTCTGACTTCAGGAAAACAGTCTGCATGTGTTCTGGGGGTTTCAAAGGACTCACTGCTGCCTCATCATGGGAATGTTAACGCAGTTAGCCGCCGCCACGGCTGCGAAGGGGACCCAGCGAGCCACGAGGGGAGGAGCTTTCTGAGGAGAGAAAACATCATCGTACACTCAACTCAATCCAGGAAAAAGACTAAAAGATGCAGCTGAAAATTACCGCTAAATCTGGTTTTGATGCCAACATATCTTTAAAGAGCACGACTCTGGCTGTAAACATGAGACAGATGACTGAGTTTGTGAGTTCTTGTTGGTACCTTTGTGTAGAGGTTGAGTCCGACTGCCGTTGCCAGAGCGGTGCTGGTTGCTGTGATGTAGGCGACTCCGATCTGCCTGAGAGACACAACATCACGGTTCATTTAAAGCATCCACGTCCAAACACTGAACTGGACAACAACAGCAGCTTCCACTGCACAGTTCTTGCATTCAGATAAAATAAGAAGCATTTTAGTTGGTATTTATTTACATTTAGCCACGTGTTGATTGATACGGCAAGTTAGAAATATGTCTGCATCCATGGTGTTTCTCTCCACAGGACGGTCTCGGCGAGTTGTTTCAGAAAACACAAAACTAGCTGAGTTTAAAGGAATAGGTACAACTACAGAGTTTTTTCCACTCTATTCCAATCAGAGTCATTTAATATTAATAAGCATCTGCCCACACCGAGTCCTACTTCAGGATTATTTTTAAACAATTCACACTTCAAGTTAATTAAAGTGACTAAAATCACTCCTCATGCTTGACAACTAAACAGCTCTGCAGCGTATTAAGAAAAAGAAATCTGGGGCCCCCCTATAGCTCACCTGGTAGAGCGGGTGGCCCATGAACAGGGGCTGTAGTTCCCCGATGCAGCGGTCATGAGTTCGAATCCCACTCACGACCCTTTGCTGCAGGTCTGTCCCCATTCTTCTCCCCCCTTTCCTGTCTCCCTCTACTGCACTAAATAAAGGCAAAAAGCCAAAAAAAAAAAAAATATAAAAAGAAATCTGCACTTTGTTGTTATTTCTGACCACTGCATGAACAAAAACCTCGTTAAAAGCTCCAAAAAATGCATCTAAAACCTCGACTGCATTTATTCTTGTGACACACACACACTCCTGATTAAAATATTAAGATCAGGGGAAAAATTACAAGTGTTTGCATTTTGCGCTGGTGGATCGTAACCAGGCTGCAAGTAGAGCTTCAACATGCAAATAGAAGAAACAGGACAAAAAAAAGAGAGTTGGCAATTCATTGAAAACTGCAGCTGTGGCTCAGGTAGTTGTCCTCTGATCGTACGGTTGGTGGTTCAATCCCCCACCCCTCCACAGTCAAAGTGTCCTTGGGCAAGACACTGAACCTGAAGTTGCTCCCAATGGCGGGCAGCACCTTGCATGGCAGCTCTGTCGCCATTGGTGTATGAATGTGTGTGTGAATGAGAAAACACATTGTGAGTGCCACTAAGGTAGAAAAGTGCTATGTAAGTGCAGTCCACTTAAACTCAACCGGGTTGTTCATCAGCTGATCAAACGTTTAAGACCATATCCCCCAAAAAAAGCCAAGACAGAACTAAGAGTGTTAAAAAACAGCTCAGTAGTGACTCGCTCCACTGTTCCTGTTGATCGTTTAGGCAGGAGGCTGGTGGGAACGTTGCTCCATGTGGTGAAGACGGCGTCACGAAGGGCATCCACCATCAGGAACTGATGTCTGTCTCTGTAAACCTTCTTTGTCATCCATCCCCAAACGTTCTCAAAGGGATTTAGATCATTGATGCCTGCTCTCTATTCATCATCTGTTGCTCCTGTTTCTTCTTTTTGCATTTTGAAGCTCTACTTACAACCTGGTAATGATCCACCAGCATAAAACACTTGTCATGTTCTCCCTGATCTTTAGACGTTGATCAGGAGCGTACGCGCCTACAGAGTCACACACCAACAGACGACAGCGTGACAACAGCCTGCATCACACTGGAATATAAAAACCGAATGAATCCTAGAACCATCCGAGACCGACTGAGATTGTTCTGTTCAAACCATCTTGGGAGGAGGTTTGGGATGCGTTTTAGCCAGATGTTGGGAAGGTGGAAATGCATCCATGTGTCACTGATGCAGCTTCAAAGAGGTACAGGTCTGTTCTCTGGGATAATGTCGCCGTGTTCTGGCTGCTACACACAGAACGCACAACGAGCTACAGTAGTGTTTATCAAAGAAATGGACAAAACGCTCGTGTGTTTGCTGCATGGCCACCCTCTGGACTGCAGGAGGGTCGACCCGGGTTTAAAGATTTATAATTTGGCCAACAGAGACGCACACAGAATGAGTTTAATCTGGATTTTTACACGTGAAATGACAAACAGGCTCTGATCAGGTCTTACTTGGGAGTGATGGGGGAGGCAGCGTTGCGGTTGGTGTAGTTGACCAGAGCGTTGAAGGACTGATTGACCCACTGCCAGAACACCACGGCAGGAACCGTCCTGCAATCACACACATGAAACCTCTCAAGTCTCCTCTGTGAAAGGGTTAAAGTGGTAAAACGCAGCCCGTTCGCCCGTCACTACCTGTAGAACTGCAGCATGCAGCCGGTGATGGCCATGCCTCCAGGCACCTGGAACGACATGCGGCCGATGATGTTCATCCGGTCTCCGGTGTCCGGGTGGAAGGCCGAGTCGTACAGCTTCTTAGCGTAGTGGAGCTGCTCCTCTGTGGTGCCGGGAGGGACGGATCCGGCCCTGCAGAGCACCGGACAGCCAGACATTTGAACACACTCTACAGTGACACCGTCGTAACGTCAAATAGCTGCAGAAACATTCCTAAAAAACCTGGTAGTGTTCAAGTTGGAACTTGAAGACGTCCTGCCTGGAAGGCAAAATATTAAAGATGAATTCCACCATCAAACAAATTCCAACTACTGCGTGACATTTCTGTGCTTCTGTGAAACTAAATCTACGTTTTGATGCCATTTATGGCCAGAATGTCTTCAGCAACATCCACTAAAAGTGTTCATATTTTAATTATTCATATATTAACTTCTTATTGTTGGTCGTGACCGTCATTCCTGTTTCATTTAATCCAGATTTGCTGTCTTTAATACTAGCCTCACTGTTTCACCTCTTCAGACCCGAGCTCTTGTTTGAGATGCACTTTTTATTTCTCTTTGACATTTGATCAGATCAAATGGCAAAGACAATTTAAAAAAAGAAAATATAAAGAAAAGAAAAAAATATTTTTAAAAATGTTGAAAACTTAATAAATAAACAAACAACCATAATAACATGATAATAATTTTAAATTAAAAAAAAAATAGTAAAACTACTGTGGTAATATAACCCAAACTGTGATGCATGTGGACGCCAGCTTCCTCTTCCTCTCATTACATCTCATTAGAACTGTTTTAACCCTCTGAACCCCAAAACCTTCCAATAGGTTTAAAAGCTATGCTGTCGCTGTTTTTTAAATGACAGAATTATACCATTTATTAAAACCAAACACCGTAAAAATGGAAAGAATCAACAGGAGGAGCTTCTTCCCTCAGGATGTCCGCCTGCTGAACCTGAGACAAATATATATACTCATAGATATATTTATCTCTTGTGTTTTATTCCTTATTCTTTTTCATCTTTTTAATATTGTTTCGGTTTGGAACAGGTGCACAAAACATTTCACTGCACGTTATACCGTGCATAACTGTGTTTGTGACCAATAAAGGCCTTGAATCCTTGAATCTTGAATCAGGACGGTCCTTCAGCTAATCCCTCATGACTCTCCCATTCAAAAAACATGTAATCGCTTCTGGGTGCAAGTCACGAGTGTTTAAGTTGTGACCGACAGACATGTGACAAAGCTTTAGGGATGTTTCAGCTGAACTGCAGGCTGTGTTTACCCCCACTGGTGTAAAATACATCATTTAAGCATTTTTTAATGGTTTTTGGCATTATATCTGTGTCACACTGCACCAGAAGACATTTTTAAAATTCTCTCCATGTCTATCAATGGTTGTGTCGTTTCCTTTATATTGCAGAGAAAAATGAACCCGCTGTGAGCAAAAAATGTGACGGGAATACAAAAAAAATGTCTAGAAACTGCTTTGGTTTCAGAGGTCTTAATGTAAATCAAACTGCTGCTCTGTCACATCAAAAACCAACAACGAAGCAAACAGGAAGCCGGTTCAGAGATACATTTATTCTTATTCATACAACATCACTTTGGCTGCAGTGCAACACATACAGCTGCTGCTCAATGGCTGTTGAATTTCATCCAAAATGCTGCTGATGTGGGATTAAACCAAACCAGCCAAACTAAAACCTGAAACTCAACTTGAACCATCTTTAAGAAACAGTCATTCTTTTTAATGTATGAAGAAGTTCAGATATTGTTTATGTCTGAAATAATCCCCATCAGCTCGTGTGCTTCTTCTTTTCTCACCTGCAGCTTTCTACCAAAGCTTTGGCTTCATCCAGGCGGGAGTCGGGCAACAGCGCAGTCCGACAGTCGGTGATGTTGAAGAAGTGCTTCACTCGGCCCATGAACGTCGTCTGATCCCATCGCGGCGCGTCGATGTCGAACGAACTCGAAGCCATCGTGGTTGCTAGAAGGCAGGCTCAGCGTGAAGCATGAAGAGGCCTCGACTCGCTCGGCGGGAGGCTCGTCAGCAGCTGCAGGAAAACGGAGAGTCATGTCAGCTGCTTGGAAAAATAATGAACAGACAAATAGGAGAGACGGTGCAGGATGTAATAAACATATAAAGTGGTTAATAGTTAATCACCAGCTTGTCTCCTGTCCTGTCTGAGCTCATGTAACATTAACAGATTGTAGCTGTGGGTCAGAGGGGCCAGGCGGCTGTAGCTCTGACCTCATAGTCAAAAAACGTGTAGAGCTGCAATGATCAGAAGACTTATCCATCATCTCTACACCTTAATCCTCACTAGGGGGGTTGGAGTCTATCCCAGCTGACTCAGGGTGAAGGCAGGTTCACCTGGACAGGTCACCAGTCTATCACAGGGCTACACTTAGAGACAGACAACCAAGCACACTCACATTCACACCTACGGACAATTTACAATCACCAGTTAACCTCAGCATGTTTCTGGACTGTGTGGGAGGAAGCCGGAGAACCCGGAGAGAACCCACGCTGCACGGGGAGAACATGGAGACTCCACGCAGAAAGATCCTGGGTGTCCTCACCAGGACGTGAACCGGCGACCTTCTAGCTGTGAGGCGACGGTGCTAACCACTGAGACACCTTGCAGCCCCGGAAGACTTATGTATCTTCATAATCAATTGTTTACATTAAATCAAAATATCCAAACCATTTTTGCTCTTGAAACACAAACATCTGCTGGTTTCTTTGTCTTAACATGATAGTAAATCAGTAAAGCTGCAGTGGTTTCATATGCTTTCTCCTCAAACTCATTGCAGCTCTTTGCACTAAACACTCTAAAAGGAAAAAGCTCCCACGTCGGCATCAACGTAAGCGAACCGACGACTCGTCCAAACCCTGCCCAGATGCCGTCTCTCTCTAAACACCAGCTACCACACAGCTCTGCAGTTCACCACCCAGGCTGCTGGGAACTTCTGTTTTCCAACATGTGCTCTTGGGTTCAAACCAAACACATCCCTGAACAAACAAACTCTTGCTTCTCCCTTAAAAAAATCCTCAAGGCCCAAATTTGCACTAGAAATCATTGACCACCTCCTGGTAAATGGTTCCACCGGCGGTCATTCCGGGTTTTTGCAGCTGCAGCACTTTGACTGGTTTCAACCAACCAGAGGAGCCGAAAGCTGCTGACTGCAGCTCGGTCGGCCCGAACGTCCCGCCGTACATCTTCATTATTACATTACCAAGTATTACTGTTAGTTTTAGGCGGAAGGCAAAGGTGAAATGTAAGCGAAGGACAGATGAGGAGAGAGGGGCACGTCAGCGCTGTGTGAGGCTCAGTCTGGCTGGAACTGGATTATTTCTGAAGCTGTTTGTTTAAAAAGTAGGTTAAAGGCCTGCAGAACCTGGTGGGGAGCTGAACACGGGCCACAAGTCAACGTGGACGTACATACCAGGACGCAGCATCAGAACATACAAAGCAGACGGAAGTGCGTTAATAACGGCAGATGAAGAGCAAAGCAGGGCTGCAGCTAAACAAGTACTGTCCTGATGAGGTTGAAGGTCTCGTAATTAATCAGTTAAACTGGAAGATGCCAGCTTCAGAACTCAAACGTTTTCAGTTTAAAAAGAGAAAATCTGCAAAAGTTTAAAAAGCTGAAACCAGAACGTATTCTGTCTTCGATAAACGATTAAAAAGCAACAATATGTATGAAGGAAACTAAATGAACAAACGTTGATTATTTTCACTGATATATTTGATCATCTGCACCAATAAATTGATGTATTTATAATAAACAGATGCAGGAATCGGGACGGTACGACCAAAATGATCAGTGAAGCACCCAACAATACGTTAACCTGTAGAGTTTAATTGGCCTTCTAATGATTCACTGGTTCCAATTCCTGAAATGTAAACATCTGCACAATCAAAAACCAGGAAACCAGTGCTGGCATCATTAATCAATCATCAGATTTGTTGGAAATGGATTCTCTCTCAACTAATCGATTGATAATTTCAGTTCGAATCAGGGGAACTAATGAGACCGCCACCTATAGAGGGGGTCAGTGGGTTAATCCAGCCGTGCGACTGAGCAAAGAATTGATTTTTCATTGATAAACTAATGAGATTAATGGATCTTGACGTGACTAATAACAAGATTCAGACTCACAGAAAGGGCCGCTGGAGGAAGGTACAGCAGCAGTGGAGGAACTAGGAATACTAATAAAACGCTGTGAACGATACTCCGTTATAAGTCCTATAATCAGGATTTAAACTACTGAATATGGACAAATGTCCCACTTACTGCTGTTTTATAATATATTAATAATGCATTCATTTGTTATCAGCATTTGGTGTCGACTGAGGTAAAGCTAATTTTTAACTATTTTGCACAAGCAGGTAACGAATGATTACAGTGGGTCAATCCAGTGATCAGTTATTAAAGCAACAGTACAGACTTCTACATTATTAACTCTGAATGAAAACTATAAAAATCTTAAGAAAATACTCACATTTTAGAAGCTGGAATCTGTTTATTTGGTGTCATTTGCATAAAAAATAACTGATAATCAGATTCAGCTGTACTTAAATACTGTTGAGTAATTTATTACAAAGTAGGGACACATGGATCATCAGATTATTTTTTTTTAATATACAAATGCCAAAAAATCTGTTTAAAATGTGCAGCTGCAAATCAACAGTGTAGGATAAAAGTTCAAAGGTTTTACTTTAGTTAAACAGATGTTAACATAAACACAGATTTTTAAATGAAAAAATGTGTTGGAATATGTAGATTTTCTCAATTTTGACATCAGGATTTTCACTTTTGCTGCAAAAGCGCATAAAGCTGCACCATTTATTGCTTCAGCATCGACAATGTCAAAGAAAGATCGACGTGAAGGACAACAAATCTGCCTCAAACGCATCGTGCTGGAAACAAGAAGGAAACTCACACGGTTCTTATTTTTCATGACTACAAAAGAGGTCAGCTTGATAGAACAGGAGCTACTCTGGTCCAAGGGTTCTCGGACAACCAAAGTTTTGTTTTTTAACTTTATTCACATGTGCGGTGTTTGCGTGTGCACAGTAAAATTAGCAAGGAGTGGGAGGAAAACACTGAAATGGAAGATTTGGTTGCAAAAAGAAACTCTCTATATGTAATATTTCAGCTGCAGAAGGGAGGACGTTGACCCAAAACAGGCTCTCTGTCGGCAGACTCCTGCAGCTGTTGCATGTACGTGAGGCAACGTTTGACCTGTTAAAGGCCCCATGCGCTGAAAATCCGTTCTTATTGTGTTTTGTGGTTGTTATAAACCAGAAGGTGTAAAATAAAAGCTGCTCAGGTGCGAAGACGTTCACTTCTGCCATTCCTCAAGCCTCTGCACGACTAGTTACCAATCCCAGCTTTACAAGTGAGTCAGAATTTGACCCAGAGGCTATGAAACACCAAACTAACCGACTGGGTTTCAAAGCCAAACAGGCCCAAAAAAGAGGGCAGACAGTCAGCTGTGGGGGCTTTAATTAATCTGCTGAGAACAGATTCCTGCGGTTCCTTTAAATCAAAGCTCTTCATGACAAGTTGGATATAAATGCCATCCAGACCAACAAACAAAACATCTTTCAGCTTCTTTCAACATATGTTTGCTGACCTCGATCATAGTAGAGTTTATAATTATTTGCACACAGAGTTAATCAAGTGATTTAGTGAAATTTCCTGCACTTTTTAAATATATTGTAGGATATTTATGCTGCAGAACAACAACATCTGCAGCCCTACTGTGCACTAGTGTACAAAAGTGAAAATAAAATGTCCAAGTTCCTCAAAAGCACACGACTTTAGTGCATGCACTCTTCTTCACTGACTAGCTGAGGCTCTTTTATTTTTGTAACTTAAACTGAGTCTTGACAAACTGGCTCTGCAGGCCAGAGCACCTCCAGCATCTGGATGAGTTCACACATGAGCCTGAACACTCACTGCACGCATCAGATGTGCTGAATTACACACGTGCGGTTACTAAAACACGAAAATAGGAGTCTGGAGAGGAGCTGTGGCTGAAGTGTAGCGAGCAAAGTGCCGTGGAGGAGTTGGAACATGTCAGGAGGAGCTCAGACTGATGTAACTCGGTGCTGCAGTTACCAGCTGATTTTTCTGAAAGCAGCTTAAAAAAAACAACAAAAATCAGGAAATAAAACCCCAGAAAGCAGCGACACGCGGGCTGCAGCGTGAACCGACAGCAGCAGAGAGACGTACCTGTAGAGATCCTCCAGCCGCCTCTCTGATCGACCTGTCAGGTGAAAAACTGAACGTGCCCGTCTGGTGATAGTAAAGAAATGCGCACGTGGCACACCGTCCTCCAATCACAGTCTGGGGCAGATCCCGACCCTGAACCACGCACAGCCTCCGGTACCGAACAGAAAACCGGACCAAACCGAACCCGACACCCGGCCCTGCGCTCTACTAATAACAACACAGATGTAAAAGATGCTAAAAACACGTGCGGCTAACGCTCCAGTCCACAGCTGCAGTGCTTTCTAACTGTTATGCTAACTAGCTGGCTAATTAGCTCTGTGATAGGTTGTTCTCGGCCTCCTGGTTAAATTTAGCCAGCTGGTTTATGAGCAGTAACTTCTTGTAACGTGTGTGGGCACAAATATACCATAAATATGACACGTGGATGTATTGTTGACCCACATATTAAACATTTAGCAGGAAGCTAACTTCACTCGTCCTCCATAGTTGGGGATGGTGCTGCGTTCAGGGTCAGTCGTTTATATCGCACAGTAGAGAAACTGACCGGTTTGCACCACTACCATCTAAAAGGCAGGTCATGGGATCTACTTCCACCACTTTATTAAATACATGGATGCAAGATAAACATTATAATTTACTGATCTAAATAAAGCCCTGACGTTGCAAGCGTTCATTTGAAAACTTGGGTTTCGTTACTTCGTAACTAAATTGCTGACATTTTTCTCTATTTTTTGACATATAACAAACAAGAAATCAAGTTAATTAAGAAAACATCAGCCCTGAAGTGTTCTCAACATAAAATCAGGTGTGACTACAAGAGCAGCACTAAGGATAAACACCTTCAAATCAAATCTTCAGATTTCACCCTGATGACTGCACCATTTTCAAGTTTTTGCACAGTACAATGAATAAATAAATAAATGTGACGTGTTCTGTTGTAAGCAAAGTAAATTAATTCTAGTTTTTGTCTTGTTTGTGATGATTAACAGCACTGTAATCATATGTACAAGTGTAGCTTGCAAATAATTGTTTTCACACATTTAATTTTAAGCTTAATTTGAGTGACTGACCCTTTAAACAGCCCAGGAGAAGGATGCAGGTGCTGATGAGAGAAAACGTTCAACCATAAAATCCCATTTTACAATAAACCCCAAATAAATACTGATAATAATTAAAGCAAAAGTGTAGATTTTTGTTCCCAATTCTACCGGGTGTTCTTTGAACGCAGCATGAGCCCGAGTTCAGTACGTAGCTGTGCGTCTGACGTCATCCCCCTTAGTAACCCTCGGCGGCGTCTCCAGGAGAGAAGGCAACAAGATGGTGAGCTTAATTTATCCTCATAATTAGCCTTTAACTTCAAACATCAAGCTTCACATGCGAAAATACTCACACACATTAGCGCCCACTTGTATTTATATCCACTTTTTTAAAATCCCGCTGCCCGCAACTTGACGAAAAACACACTGAGCGGCAAAGAAAAAAACAACTGCCTTGTTGCTTCGTTCAGTTATCAGGGGAGATTAGCTTAGCACGTTAGCTCGGTTTAGCTCCTGTTTGCCGTTAACATGTAAACAGTTAGCTAAAAATGCTCAAGAAAACCAGACAGGGTGATGCCGCCAGCTACTCACGGGACCCGTTGTCGTCCTCATGTGTCGGTACCGTTAGCAGGGAGCTGGCTCATCATCCACAGCGGGGACCGGGAATGCACTTGCACGGCCTGCTGGTGCCTGCAAAGAGGAGATGTGTTTCTACAATGGTGGCTCGCCGCAGCAGTGCTCCCCCTGTCCCCCCGGCACAGTAACATCACACGGATGTATTTCATTGATTCTTGCAGGGATTGCTGTCCATCCTGCGTAAGCTAAAGAGCACACCGGACCAGGAGGTGAGGATACTGCTGCTGGGTCTGGACAACGGAGGGAAGACGACCCTGCTCAAACAGTTGGCATCCGAAGACATCAGCCACATCACCCCCACGCAGGTCAGACAGAAAGGCTCTCACACACACACTCACACTACCTGTTGAAACAGACAGATTACACTCAAGATGAGTCCCCTTTTGGTAGTTGTATGAATTTTCTGGACCAGCATCTTCATCTCTGTAACCAGCTTGGTGTTTTGTGCCTCCTCCAGGGATTCAACATCAAGAGCGTCCAGTCTCAGGGATTTAAACTGAACGTTTGGGACATCGGAGGCCAGAGGAAGATCAGGCCGTACTGGAGAAACTACTTTGAGAACACTGATGTGCTGGTGAGTGTTTGGACAAAATGTCTAATTGGGGGTTTTTCTAATCTCGTACTTCATTATCAGCCTGCTATAAGGGAAAAACAATTCTCTGGTTTGTTTGTATTTACTTATTCAAACCAGTCACAACCATCATGGGCAGCACTAAGTAAAGGATGTGGCTTCAAGGTTCTCTCTAAATAACGACGGGGGAATTGTTGCATGCAGGGCGGCATGCGTCATTAACATGAATAATGCACAAAAAAAAAAAACCTAGCAGGGCTGCCGTAATGCACAGTTCTTGCCAAAACTTGTTTGAAATTTTCAGTGTGGTATTTTCCTCGCCTGGAGGTTGTTGTTGTTGTTTGCCATAGTGAAGTGGATTTTGCAAAAGGGGAGGACAAAGCCTCCTGACATGATCAGACTGCAATCTCCATCCATGAAGTTAGACTCTAGTTTCTCTGACAGACGTGATTTGATTTGTGATTTTTAGCTTTACCTGAATATTCCCTGTACAATAGATTTAACACGTGGTGGAGCTTTACTACATGAGATACAATCAGAAGCGTGACTGTCATCTGTCGCACAAGCTTATGAACAAAACCTGTGATTTTATTTCAGATTTATGTCATTGACAGCGCTGACAGAAAGAGGTTTGAGGAAACGGGTCAGGTATGTACAACATATTGTAAGGAATACGCATCTTCATATTTGTCAGATTCTATTAATCTCTCAATTAACTTATTAATCTTTTGGTCAGTAAAATGTCCAATTGCTTTTTTCTTCTGTCCCACAGTTCAAAACCCAAAAACATTCAGTTTATTGTCAAGAACAACCAGAAACTAGTCACATTAACAAGACTGGAAAATAGATTTTTTTGCTATTTTTACTTTTAAAAATAACTTCAAATCACACAATTGGCTGATTTCCCATTAGTTTTCTGACAATCTAGTAATTACCTCTTGTCAAGTCTGAATTAAAAGTCAAACGTTCGGCTTCCACCTCTGTGATTGCTGAGCATTAAATGAGATGGACGGCATTTGAATATTTTTCTTTAAAGTCCGTGTTAATGGTAATTGTTTCTGTAAGAGCAGAGGACTGTTAATTAAATAATTAAAATGTTAATTGAATTCAAGGTTTGTGGTTATTCCCGTCTTAGTGGGGTTTTAATGGTTCAGTGATTTTAAGAGCAAAATAGGAAATTTGATTGTTTCTGCTTAGGTTTAGGTTTAGACCTGCACTAACCATTAGTTTAAGTGACTTTTTCTCAATGAATTGATTTAGTGGTTGAGTCCTAAAATATCAAAAATAGTGAAAAATATGAATCAGTGTTTCCCAAAGATGACGCCGTCAGAAGTCCTGTTTTATCCACAAACCAAAGACATTCAGTTTGTTGTCATAGAGAAGGAAAGAAACAGGAAAGTGTTCAAATTTTAAAAGCTGGAGTTAAACAATTTAGATGAATCGATTATTAAAATAGTTGGTGATTAATTCAGTAGCTAATCGATTAATAGTTGCAGCTCTACTGAAGTCATGTGTCAAGTTCAAAAAGCACAGATTTTCATTTTATTCATAGCCGCTTCCAGCTCTGCTTTTTAATTAATAAGAATCACTGGAGTCTCGTCACAGAATGTTTTTACGTCTGATCAGGAGCTGGCTGAGCTGCTGGATGAGGAGAAGCTGAGCGGCGTTCCTGTGCTGATCTTTGCGAACAAGCAGGACCTGCTGACGGCCGCCCCGGCATCCGAGATCGCAGAGGGCCTCAATCTGCACACCATCCGGGACCGAATGTGGCAGATCCAGTCCTGCTCCGCCCTCACTGGTGAGGGCATTCAGGTGAGCGCACAAGCTTCTCCTTTTGTTGTTATTAGGGATCGACTGATGTGGGGTTTCTTCAGTGAAGCCGATAACTAGTACTTAGAACCGATATACATTAAATGTTAAACGGTGCATGTTAACAGCATGTTGTTGCAGGAACATGACATTCATAACGCTTCAGGATTACTGAATATATATATAATAGAAACAGCAGTGAAGATGTCAGAGCGCCTTGTGAGGCTACAACGCTCTCCTTTGTTCGACTGAGATCAATAACCGTTTGTCTCCTTCAGTTTTCTTAATCTTTCACTGTTCCACCACTTTAATTGCAGACTGAAGCCAGTATTGTAGAGCAGCGTTAATTATTGTTCTCCAAACCGTTTCAGGGTCGTCTGTGACTTCCTTCTAATGTAGCTGCTAGCCGTTAGCGTAGCTGTAGCCACTGTGAGGGCAGCTCATGTCCTGATTGGTGAAGATGGCTGAGCTTCTTGTTTAGTTCTGTCAGTTAGAACACATTTTTAGCTGTTATTCTTGCTTTGGGAAGATGTCACAGCTGCAAGCCAAACAGCAAACCCTCCTAGCGATAGCCTTAGCCTAGCACCAGTAACTTCTGGTTGCCGTGACACCAACAATTGAAGTATTGGGGAATATTTTAGTGTAACAGGGAAACTGGGAATGCTTTTGTAAGATTGCGGTGTTTCTTACAACTTCAGCAACATCTGCTGCCTCACCTTCCAAACACAGCGCTGCTAATTCACAGACGCTGCCTGGAAACAGGAGTTTTCATTGTTGATCAGCTGCAGCTTGTGACAGCCAATCAGAGAGAGCTGTAGGAGGGACGCTGCTTTAGACGACAGCGTGACTACGAAGAGAGAGAACTCTGCATCAAATCCAAAGTAGTACGTAATCGGTTAACAAAAACAAAGATGCTAATAATCAGAAAAATGCAGAATATCGGCTCTAATAATCGGTCGATCCCTTGTTTGTCTGTGCCGTTGTTCTCCTCTTCTTCTTCTCACCGCGTTGCCTTTTTCTCTTAAACCCGATTCAGGAGGGCATGAATTGGGTCTGCAAGAGCGTAAACTCCAAGAAAAAATAGCTCGGCTTCTAGTCTTCCAGCCCTCAGGAGCAGCAGCAGCAGCAGCAGCAGCAGCACACACACTGACACACATGGCAGCCTCCTGAGCCTTAGTACGATGGGATATACCTGTGAATGTACACACACTACTAATCCAACGTGGACTTGGAGTTTTTAACCCCCCCCCTGCATCCCTGTCACCGCTGACGTCCACTAATCTCAGCACATGTCTCCGCGTCGGCCTCCACCTCAGAGGACGGGCGTTTTGCCTTCAAAGAGGAACCCATGCCAGGAATTAGACCCCTCCGTCCACCCACGTCGCCGTCACACTCCTCACCCGACACGACCTCAAACATCCCCGTTACAAAACTGCTGTCTTTTTCACCGAGGAATTCCAACGTGTTCTTGAAGCTCTTTCACTCGCTGTCCTGGAAACCAGCCCTCCTCCATCTCCATCGTTTTTCCTCCATCTTCTGTGTTGATGTTTTCTTTCTTTCTTTCATTTTTTTTTTTTTAAAGAAATCATTCCACGATGGCTGTAAGCGCTTTTCCTGCTATGGCTCTGTTTGAAGTGAGGTATATTTTTGTAATTTGTTTTATTTATGGTGAAGTAGAGTGTAGAGTGCTTTCAAACAACAGCTCGTGCGGTGTGTGTGTGTGTGTGTGTGTGTGTGTGTGTGTGATCCCCAGGATGTTGGCGTATCGGTCCAGCTCTCCCCCTGCTAAAGAATAATACTGTTCATATGTATAAAAAAACAAAAAGAAAAAAGATGAAACTAAATGGTTAAAAGGAGAACTACTACACTTTTGGATCAACTGTAAATAGTTGGGCCCCGTGTTCATATGTTACGTTATGCACATGTTATAGAGTATGTGTCGCCCCGCTGTGCTTCGTAGTCTATAATGTTTGCATATCTAATGTATGCTGGCAGATTTTTAACAGAGGTACACGTACTGTATGTCCCGACGCATTTCCATGTGCTCTTTGGGTTAGTGAGGGAACTCTTTCGGCATTTCCTTTTGATATTCTTGAATGTAATCTGTCCAGAATTGAAGATACTGTATGTGAATAAAAAAAAAAAAAAAGAAGAAAAGCAGTTGTTGAATTGTGCTGCCTGCTGCACAAACACACGTGAAGAGGCGTCGACACACAACCAGGTGGAGTCAGCTGCTCATGACGGCCGGCGTGGAGAGGCCTCTGTGGGCGACAGCGGCGAGGACAGAGCGCTCGATTCACTGGTTAATTACAAGTACGTGCTTCTTATGTACGTCGCAGAAGTAACCGTCAGTGAAAGATAGCGAACAGATGATTAAAACCACCTACAGTCACGCTGATTGCATTTTAAGAATCCTCCAGAACTCATCGAATCATCTGGACTACAAATACTTCATCCGCTGCACAGTGGAATGAGATTTTTTAACAGGTTTCCAAACTTAAAGTTCGGTAGCCAGCTGGCCGGCTGACGGGTCTGATTGGGAAACAAAGGCGCAGCTATTAGGAAAAAAAAAAAAAGTGATTTCTCAGAAATAAAAGCGAAATACTCAGAAGCCAACAGAACCATGTCATATCAATTATTCATCCACAGAACTCCCCGGATGATTCATGATGTTTGTCATTAAAATTCCAGACGGGGCTCCTTTGCAACTTCATGGAGAAAATCAAATCAAATCAGGTTTATTGTCATTTATTTTGCTGTAAATACACAGAAGTACAGCCAAGAAGAGAGAGTTTATTCAGGATTATTCAACCAGCAAGTTCTGCAGAATGAACGTCTGGGATGAGACGCTAAACGTTCGCTGAACAAGAGACGTGGTCACGATTAAAACTAAAGATCTGAAGCCAAACTTCTTCATACATTCACATGTGTTGACACTGTAAAACAAAACAGTGATTTTTAGATGAGATTTTCCCAGCATTCTTAAACCCTCCTAAAACAAATAACAAGAAGAAATATGACTTTGCACGTCTATTGTGAAATAACTTTACGAAACAGCAGGTTGTGAATAAAAAGAAAAACTTCAATTAAAAGAAAAAGTTCATTCTTCTCACATAAAAAGACGTTTTTCACAAATGTTATCTTTTTAATTTAACAGATGCATTAATGCTGTAAATATATCAGAGAATTAGCAACAAATGGTGACAAAAAAGAAGTGTTGGTTCTGTAATAGATTTGTTTGTTAAATGAGAAATATATTATAAAAATAAAAACAATAAAAACAAGAACTGAGAAAAAAAAAATGGAAATGTACGACAACCAAGAGATTAATCAGGAAACATCTGTAGTTTTTCCCAACTCGTCTGTTTCTCTTAAATCTTGCCCCAGAAAACTAATTCTAATAATATAATATGTGTAATAACACTGATTTACATTTTTAAACTGTGAAAATCACAGATTTCCTAACACCACAGATTCATTTCATTTCTTCTTCGGCTCATTTTTACTGCGGAAAACATGAATATAAAAACATTTCTACCATAAATTAATGCAGAAAAAAAAGGCCCAAATTAGTGCATAAGGATTCAGTGAAGTGTGTGACGCATATCGGAGCCCCTGACCTACAGCGTCCTCCCCGGTATTCAAACCAAACCTACGCCCGTGATAGAAAACTAAACTGAAAGAAACACACCTACTCTGAAAACTAACTGAAACCAAACAATTACTCACAACCTCCCGTTTTCCTGACAGCTTTCTACATTTATCAGACAGCTAGAGGTTGATTTTGCATCAATTCAGCTTGTTATGAAAAAAAGACGCATTACGCACTCAAGTGAAGGCAGAATCACTAATTGTAGATTGCACTCAGAAACGTTAATTACAGCACTGAAGCCACTCACAATTAATTACTTTCCATCGTGGATCATTTCATTTTAAAGCCTCCTAGAAGCCGCATGTGTCCGTGATGTACAGGCTCATTACTGAACACGCTGATCATAAATAATGGCCCACGAGAACACGTCTGGAGGTGTTACATGTCCAACAGCCAGGCCCTGCAGCAGGAACAGTGCGCCGTGTGTTTTACTTTGCGTAACGTTGTGTGTGTGTGTGTGTGTGTGTGTGTGTGTGTGTGTGTGTGTGATTCAGAGGGCCGGGGAGGCCTGCAAACAGCCTCTTCTTCTTGTCTCACAAAGATTCTCATTGTTCGGTCGTCCTCTCCTCTCGCACAGACAGAATGTACGAGTGCTGTCCCTCGTTTCTGGCCCTTAACTCCTTGTTAGATTTTAACTCGGACAAAAGCGCTGCGGAAAATGTGATGCGCTGTGGGAGACATGAAGGCGTTCAGAGAAACAGCTGGAAAAATACGGTCGCTCTGGTGGACAGTTAGATTGAGAGTATTAATACCATTAGTGTCTGTGAGATAAGCTACCTCCGGAAGATGGTTAGCTTAGCTTAGCATAAAAACTGGAAACAGAGATAAACGGCTAGTATAGTAGTAAAGTCCGACCTGGGCTCTAAACCCAGGATGAAGCGATGGTCTCCCTGCAAAACACTGATGAGCAGATTGTTTAGTGGAACATCTGCAAGTAGGGAGATGAGAACTATCATCA